TTGTTTTTTTCCGAGACAGGGTTTCTCTGTGTAGTCCTGGCTGTCCTGGCACTCACTCTGTAGACCAGGCGGGCCTCGAACTCAGAAATCCACCTGGCTCTGCCTCCCAAGTACTGGGATCAAAGGCATGCGCCACCACTGCCCGGCTAATAAAATATTTTTAAAAAGCTATTTTTGGGGACAAAGAGATGGCTAAGTACTGGCTACCCTTCCAAAGAATCTAGGTTCAATTCCTAACATACAGATGGCACCTCGCAATTGTGTGTAATTCAGTTTCCACAGGATCTAACATTGCCTTCTGGCCTCTGTGGGTACCAGGCATGCATGTGGTACACAGATATACATGATGCAAACTACCCATGCACATAAATCAGTTCTATAGCAGCTCTTCCCACGGTGGTCCAGCGAGAAGAGCAGATTTCTTGTTACGAGCAAGGGAAGAGTAAAGATTAAATAAATATATTTTCTGGTCTGATTTTGTTGGTGCCTTTTGTTGCTGGAGTCTACAGCCATTTCTAATTCATTAACACTAGGTGGCTCTCTGAACCTGAGTTTGCAAATGAACTCTGCTAGACCTTTTCTGTGGTAAAGCCAAACTTAGTCTTTTTTTGGTCTGTCTTCATTTCCTTAGTTGGTATGAACAAATATTTCTTTTACATTCTACAGGAAAAAAACCCACAAAACTCTATTTCCTCCTTAAGAGAAGGAAACAAATACAGGCCGTAAGCCAAACCCTATTAGAAGTGGAACTTTTTAATTTTTCAATTTTGTATTTGATTGTATAGTTTTTTTGAAATAAGGCCCTATGTCTTTTGTAGCCCTGGCTGTCATGGAACTCACTTTGTAGACCAGGCTGGCCTTGAACTTGGAGATCTGTCTGCCTCTGCCTCTCGAGGATTGGGTCAAAGGACTTGTGTTACTCCTGTGGCCCAGCTTCCTCCAGCCTCCATTTACTCACTACAGATCATTGGTTTGCATGAGATGGGGAGTGGTTGGGGTGCGGGTGGCGCAGACCTGGAGGGG